ACAATTGGGTTAAACATCATAAGACAAAGGCTCCGGCGGCCGGCGACCTCAAGAGGATCCTGCTCAAACTTCGTAAGGACGGCCGCTTCTATCAAGCTCTACAGGTAGTTCAATTAGCTTCTACTCCCTATTACTTATTCAATCTCCAATCCATGTTTCTATATGCTTTACAAAAACTTGCTCCGAGGTACCCTATCCATGACCTATGTTTTTGGTAAGGCCTAATAACTCAAGCAACAAGGAGATTAGCTAGTACAACAAAAGAATCAAAGAGCAAACAAAAGGAAGAATAGCGCGCTAAGACAAAGGGCACGCACACAGATTTAAGAAGAAAGAACCCAAACCTACCAATGTTCGAAATTGCGTATTGCGGTTTCGAGGCGTTTTCTTTTCATGGCGTATTTCGTAAGCCTCGAGGCATATTAAGGCGGAAGCCTCAATTTTTAAATTGAAAAATATCCACAAAACAATTTAAAACTAAAGATAGAACATAATATATAACATAAATAATCCAAAAACATTAAAAAAAAGTATATTGTCAAAGTAATGCATCACAAATGCAACAAAGTCTAACATGGAATAAGACATAATATTGCTCAAAGTGATGAGCTTAAATTGAAGAATTGAAAAAAGTTCATCAGTATCTAACAGCTTGAAATTAGGATCAAAAGATTAGCACAACAATTATCAAAAAAAGAATAAAAAAAGAGATTAACAGCTAAAAAAAATGCATCACTACCCAACTACTTGACAAAAAAACACTAATTATAAACTACAACCATAAAAAAAGAGAATTGAATGCTCGTGTACTTCATAAAATGATAACAAAAAAACTAATTAAATAAATTTATCAAGATAATAAGTTAATACTACGTAGTAGATTATAAATCCTCCGGCTATCATCCATCCATTCTTATACCATTTGCCGGAAAGAAAAAAATTGTACCTGCTCTAGACACAGAAAACAAAGACACACAAAAGATGAATCGCACCTGCTATCGCGATGGAGATGAATCGCAGCTTGGAAATCTCACTAATTAGGGTTGCAATTAAGGTCATCGACAAGGTAATTTTAAAATATATACTCTTAATAAGGATAATTGACAACTTTAACCTTTTATTTCCTAAATTTTACACGCTAAATTGTGTATGCCTCATTGCGCGCCCCAGTGTGTACGCCCCATGGCGTAAGCCTTTAAGCAAATTGCATGAATCGGGATTCGCACCAGGGTGTTATTTTCTGGAAAAAGTTTCATTGCGCGCCTTGAGGCGGGTTTGGGTTTTGTCTTTTCAAACATTGAAACCTACAAAGCACACAACAACAAGAACAAAACCACCACTCCGGCCCAAATGACTAACCAACAATCTTTGATCTCCAAACGTTCCTATATAAGGTCATATCCTTAGTAAGAGTCAGAAGTCCTAAGTCCTTCCTTATTACCTCCTTCCAAAGTTTTCCTAAATCGACCTATCCCTTAAATCTACTATCATAAGTCTCTCACATCTCTGAACCGGGTCTTTATGTTCATGCCGCTGCACGTGACTAAGCCATCTTAACTTAACCTCGCACAACTTACGCAACAAACCTCTCTGAATAATTTCATTCCAAATCCTATCCAACCTTGTCTTTCGTCACATCCATCGCATCATACTCATCTTAGCTCCATGCATTTGACAAACATGGGGTATTGCACTAACCATAAATTTCCTATTTTACCCTTATCATAAGTATTCCAGGTTACCTTAAGTTTTATACTAAGAACTCGCAAATCCCTATGGTGCCTTTTTGGCGATTTTTTAACATCTATTTCTGCCAGCCCTTGGGGAGAAGATTGATATCATGGTATCGAACTCAAGGGCAATGAACGATTCTGATGGATATGAGTAAAAGAAAAAAATCCCATTTTCTAAAAGAATTCATTTTTACGTTTCTTAAATATATGGAGTTTGAGTTGAAGAATGCATTTTTAAAAAAACTCTGTTTAAACAAATCTGTTCTAAGTTTATTGATCCATTAAAAATCACACAAAATAGGAGTATAATATAGTCTTTATCCCCAAAATAGAGTTACATATTTTTATTTCTAAGATAAGAGTTTGCACTCGAACAATGTGGAACTCTATATTGGCATTCCGTAGTGGTTTTTGGTATTATATGTTAACAATATTGACATTGTAACTCCTATTTTGAAGTTACATAACATATTGTCTATATTTTGGTACTTTTTTTATGTTTTACTCCTAATTTAGTACTCCGTAAAACGTAGGAGTATAACATAGGAGTATAACATAGTCTTTATCCCCATAATAAGAGTTTCATGTTTTTATTTCTAAAATAAGAATTTGCATTGTAAGAGCATCTTCAATGGGTATGGTAAATTTTGATAGTGTATATTGTATTTTACACTACCAAATATGTTTTAGCAATCCATTTTAACTCAGGATTCAGATAATAGCCCGCAGTGCAAGGGATGGTGAAGTTGGATTTCCCATCTACGATCAATTATCTCAAACACTTGTTTATATTTATCCTCTTGCTCGCCAAATGCTTTCATTATTGATTCCTTCGCTCTAACTTCGTAAGGACAAAGGCTCCGGCGGCCGGCGACCTCAAGAGGATCCTGCTCAAACTTCGTAAGGACGGCCGCTTCTATCAAGCTCTACAGGTAGTTCAATTAGCTTCTACTCCCTATTACTTATTCAATCTCCAATCCATGTTTCTATATGCTTTACAAAAACTTGCTCCGAGGTACCCTATCCATGACCTATGTTTTTGGTAAGGCCTAATAACTCAAGCAACACGGAGATTAGCTAGTACAACAAAAGANGACAAAGGCTCCGGCGGCCGGCGACCTCAAGAGGATCCTGCTCAAACTTCGTAAGGACGGCCGCTTCTATCA